CGGCGGGTGGCAAGGCGAGGCATGGAGGAGAGGAGATGGCAGCAGCCCCCTGGAAAAGTCTCATGCCTCTCCCTCCGCCTCCCGACAGCCCACACTGTGTGGTTCCAGGAGCAGCAGCAGCTCCTGCAGCAGTGGTGGTGGCGACAGCAGCTGCTGAAACGCCTAAAAGAGCTGCTGCACCCACCACCCCAGCCACACCCACCACCCCAGTCATGCCTCGTGTTCTGAGTCAAGGGTATTTCCACCCAGAACAGGCCATTGAAGGGTCTGATGCAAGCTACAGCGAAGCTGCCAGAGGGGAAAGCACAGCGAGAATATTTCCTTGCAGCCCTTGTGTGAGAGTCTGATGCCACAGCGAAGCCCGCTGGACTTAAGAGCATCGCTTCAATTCAAGTGGCAGAACAATCCAGTGCTGAACAGTCACGACCGTTGTGGCCTGCACCAGGGGCGCGCTGCCAGAGGGGCAATTGGGTATCATTGCAGAGAAAAGGAGAGCGAGTAACGTTAATGTGTTGAGCTTTGATTGTGGGAATGAAAGCCGATGGAACGCAGGAGGGGAAGGAGAAGATGGAATGGGGGAGGAGAGGGGAGAGGAAGAACTTTATGTAGGGCTGCAGTATTGGAGCCTGAATCAAGCAAAGGAATTAAGTGACGGATGAAGGGAAGGACATCCATGTCACAATGGCCATGCTGCATGTCACAATGGCCATGTTGATGCCGTTGAGCAGTTTTTTCTCCAACCTCGTCACACTATTGCCCTCTGCTGCCTTCTGCTGCCCTCTGCTGCTGCCCTCTGTGACAGCACGCGATGTGCGTGGGATAAGCGTGACAGCCTGCCACACGAGCTCACGTGCCACACGAGCTCACGTGCCACACGAGCTCACGTGCCACACGAGCTCACGTGCCACACGAGCTCAACGCACCACTCGCGACTCACTCGCGTCGTCCAGCGCCATCATGATGCCCACCACGCGGACGCCCCTCCGCGCCATGGTGCCCGCCAGCTCCCCATCAATGACCCTCATCTTCCATCCCATCGCCATGCACCGCTCCTTCAGCTCTGCCCCGCGCGCGCGCAACACACGTAGTGCAAAAATTGGTGCGGCTGATTCCTTGACACGCACATTCCCCGCGACCCCGCGCACTGAAAGACCGGCTCCGCCACGCGCGCGCAACACAGCGAGTGACGATATCCGAGACCCAATGCACGTGCCAATCAGCTCTGCCACGTGGAAAGAAGCCTTGGATGAACGAATGAGCGGAAGGAAGGGACGAAATTACTATTCGAGGAGGAACGAGAACGAACAAAACTGCAATGCGAATTTGCGCGTACACGCGGATTTTTATTCGAGCTTGCATGGCCGGTCGATTCCGTTGCAAGTGACAACCTTGCGTGCATGAGTTGGCTCGGATTGTGCGACGTTCTGGCGATGCGATTACCGAAGCAGCGACGGAAACAGCGCTGCGGAGCACAAGGCAGGCGAAAGGGAAAAATAATGCCTGCGCTGTTCGAGGCAGTACGGCGCAGCCGTCGATCGCGCTATGCTAAGCAGCACGGAACTAAAGCTGTACTAACCTGTCAGTGAACAAATGAAGGGTGCAGTGCGACGAGATGAGAGGTCTGAGTTCACAAGCAATGTGGGGTGGGAGTCATTGAAGCTAGTCCCGAGAAAGATGAGAGTTGTCAGTGTTACCCTCAGAATCATGATTTCATTGAGATTCTTAATGAAGTTTACAGCGCAGTTTGCTACTCCGGAAAAAACAAGAGCACTTACATGAAGCTCAGATACGTTTGGAGTCCCTTTCGGGGGTGGTGAAGGGTACCGTCATTTGTGATACACTTCAACAAGCATACAGACATGCATAAACCCTTCCTAGAAGTGTCTTACTACCTCAAACATCAAAAGACCATCGCCAAAACCCGAAACAAAGTATTGCTTCCTAAGACATCTACAGCCGCATGTCGACCAAGTAGGGCACGTCCACCCATGGTGCTCCCTCTCCAAACTCCTGCTCCCCACCCCATCGCTCCACCCACTCCGCCTCGGACTGACCCAACGTGTATGCCGCCCGCAAAAGAATCACCCGAGCCTGTGCCTTCTGCAAAGCTACCCCTACCGCGGCTGTCAAGGACCCCACCAAGTATTCCGAGAAACCCGAGCTGTTGCCCCTTCCCACACCTTTGTTAAGAGCCACCTTTACTTGAACCTCCCCCTGCTGCCGTAACCACTGTCGAAAGCTTCCCCCCAAGCAACCCCAAGTCTCAAGAATCAACGGGAAGAAACGAACCCCCCTGTGTTGCCGCAGAAAAGGTTGATAATCCGTCGCCTTCCTCTTCTCTCGCTCCTTGGCAGCAAAACCTACTGTCCGCCCACACTGCCCATGCTGCTGCACCGGTAGCGAAACCGGATCCACGACGCTCACCTCGAGCGCATGTTTTTCCCCGTCCATTGGTTTCCTAACCGCCACATCCACTCTCTTCCCCGGCAGAAGCGTGTCATCCTCGATCGTAACCACCCCACCCGATGCCTTGGCTATCTTAGCAACAACGAGCTTCACTGCATCATGAACACGAGACGGGGCGTACTGGTACTTGCACCGAAGAGCATGGTGCGGATCTGACGGGTCCTTGACGGATTTGTGATACACACTGGTGGGATTCGGTAGCACACATCATCCCACACCCTTATGTAAGTGCAATGGTCATATACGGGTGTTTAATTGCGATGCTTTCCACGAACAACATGTGCACATACAACATGTGATTGTATGGATTTGATACACATAAAACAGATGCAGTCACGAGAGCCTCCATAACGAGTTCAGGTCATGAGAACTCCGATTTAGCCGTCTTTTCGATAATCTCCCTTCTGGCACCACCGCTGAATTCACGGAGCGTTTGGCTTGCTCGTCGGTGCTCGAACGTTTTTCGAGCCACCGCATGCCCGCTTGCTCGCCGATCGCTCGCCAAAACGAACGACAAGGTCGCGGGGCACGGCCTGAGGTGGGGCTCGGCATTGTTCCGATGGGTTCTCCGACGAGGCCACGGGCTTGGACATCCGGCAGCCGGCTGAACGCCGGTCGTCATCCTTCCAAGCCCTCGAGCGTGCTCTGAGCATCTCGCCTCTTCCGAGGAGGAGACGAGAAGCCCGGCCGTCTCTCTCCGCCGCCGCCGCATCCGGGGCACGGGTGAAACCCGAGTCCTTTTTGCGAGCGGGACGCGAGCACGCGCTTTCCCCACCCAGGACGCCGATGCAACGCGAGCGCTGCACCTGCCGACCCGGGGTTTGGGCTGCGATTGACCCCGCAGCCCAAGGGCTCACTGAGTGTGTCAATGATCCTTCCGCAGGTTCACCTTCGGAACGGTGAAATCCTGCATTATTGCCAACGGAGGGAGGAGCGCGGTCTCCCGCGCTCGCCGACTGTATCTTAGGCCTGCCTGGTCCGTGCATCGCGAGACGTAAGGAGAACAAGGCAGACCCACCGTCGTTCAGTCTGTGAACTGCCCCTTGCCGGTTCCGAGTCACGGGGACTCGGGAACGGGCCCGGGTTGGCTGCGGATCGTCTCACCCGGCCGTGCGTTTTTACCATACCCCGGCGCCTCGTCTGCGCCGGGCCACGCCCCTGACTGGTCGGCCCCGTTGCAAAAAAAAATTCGAACGGGGGAGCCCGAGCCGGGTTGGCGCTTAATAGCACGACCTCTCGAGAGGTCTCCGCAGTTGGACGGTGTCGCTCCCGAGGGAGGGGGGTTGGCCATCCCACCCCACGCCTCGGTGCACTAGCGCTTAGCGTCCCTTGTTGATAAGAGGGACGCACCTGCCTCTTTTTTTTCACGAGGCAGGCCGCTCAGGCTTCCGTGTACGTGCAAATCCCCTGCGGAAGGAAGGGGGTTTGTGCCGCGCACGGCAACCTTGTTACGACTTCTCCTTCCTCTAAATGATAAGGTTTAATGAACTTCAGGCAGCGTCACCGACGGGTGACCGTCAGCGTCGTCGCTTTCCGTAAACTTCACCGGATCATTCAATCGGTAGGAGCGACGGGCGGTGTGTACAAAGGGCAGGGACGTAATCAACGCGAGCTGATGACTCACGCTTACTAGGTATTCCTCGTTGAAGATCAATAATTGCAACGATCTATCCCCATCACGATGAATTTTCGGAGATTTCCTAGACCTCTCGGTCAAGGGTGAGCTCGTTGAATTCATCAGTGTAGCGCGCGTGCGGCCCAGAACATCTAAGGGCATCACAGACCTGTTATTGCCTCAAGCTTACAGTTGGCTAAACGCCAACAGTTGCCATATCACAACCCTAGACAACTCCTCGGGCAGTGCTACGCCACGTGTGTTTCCCGTGCTCGCTTCTCCACCAGGCATTGCCAAGCCTGGATTAGGTTTCTGCCCGAAATTCCTTTCCCTCGTAGAAAATGAAGGTCTGGGGGTGTACGCTGCGTTCACCTCGCCACGAGCCGCCGGATCTCTCGCAAGGAGGCTCGGAATCCTTCCGAGGCAGAACCCTCGAGCTCAAAGAGGGCAGCGGAACCCTTTTTTTTTTTGCGAAGCTCTTGCCCGAAACCCTCGCGGGAGTCCACTAGCCAACCAAATCTTTTCAAGAATGCCCTATTTGTTTATTTTGACCCGGGCAGCATCCCAGCACAGAGATCAGCGATCTCCGGAGCCTCTTAGTTCGGCAGCGCTTCCAGGAGGCTCTCGTTCCTCCCATTTCGTCCCCTCGGCTGCTCCTCCCCACATCCCTCCCTCTCTGCTCTCCCTCTCCCTCGTCTTCAAATTCTCGATACCGCCAGCTAGTCATTTTCATAGCAATCTTTTCAGTTTTCCAGCAACCCGTCATTCGTACTACAATTTCCTATTGTTCAGCTCCGCTTTCAAGGCCCGAAGCTTCTAGCTTACCGTTCTCATTTTCAAAGCAGCTGTGGCTGATTATTCGTCTGATTATCCAACTTTTTATGAAGCCCTAGCTTTCTTTAAGAACAGGGATGCACGCATGCAGTCGCCGCTTCTTGTTCCAGCCTCCTCACCTCCGTGTTTGGCTGCAGAGGACGAGCATCCCTGGACCGAGGCTGCATGGGAGTCCTCTGTTGCTGCAGGGGAGTCTTATGAGGCTCCAGAAGGCTCCTCTGTGACGGCAGAGACGTCTTACGAGGCTGCAGGGTACTTCTCTGAAGCCTCACAAGATGTTTCTGGTGCTGCTGCAGGCCTCTCGCAGCCTGCAGTGGTTCATATTGAGGCTGCAGAGGACCGCAGCAGCAGCTGCAGCGACCCTGCTTTGTCAAACAAGGCTAGCGTCTCTCGATTCGGATTCTACAGCAGTGACGCCCACGTGGACTGCAGCAGCAAGTTCAGTTTCGCTTTGACCTGGGCTCAAGTCACCAAAGAGGTGCTGACCGGTGCTTACAACACCTTCAAAATCGGCAGATACGGTGGGTCCAGAGAATCGGGAGAAACTGCAGCAGCAGTGTCTACAGCAGGGACTGCAGCGGTGGGTGGTGCAGAGGGTCCCACTGCAAGCTCAGCTCGGTCCGTTGCAGGCAAGGGCTCAGTTTCGAGAATGGCAGCAGACAGGCTGAAGGAGTTGCCTTCCCGCATCCCCAAGCCCAGCAAGGGCAGTGCAGGAGGTGCTGTGAAGCGTGGGACGAGGCCGGCAGCAGCAAGTGCATGCCTGCCGCCGTCCCTCATTCCCAAGCCACGGTCAGCCAAGACTGCACCTGCTGCACTGGCGATCTCAGGGATGGCACATGCGGCTGTGGTAACCCGTCCTGTAGTCACAGTAAGCAGCAGCACAAGGCAGCAGCAGGAGAGGAGGAATGGCGGTGCGGAATGCAGGGGAAGGCGGCCTATCAGGGCAAATAAGGCAACAGCAGCAGCAGCAAGGCCTCCTTGGAGGCCGTGAGGGATGCAGTTTGTGGTGGAGAGTGGGAGGGTGGTGCTGATTGGAGCGAGCAGAGAGCAGCCAAGGTACGGCTGGTGAAGGCACGGGTGGTGGACGGTGGGGAGGAAGGTGGAAACACTTTTTGCACCCTGCTGGTCAGGGTGTTGCAGCAACTGGATGGTGGATTGGCGCATGGAGGTTGGATTGTGGGAGGCGCTTAGACGACTGAAGCTGCTCACGTGCTCTCCAATGGGTAAGAGGCCGGGCCATGTGATGACCGAGGCTTGTCATGGGATGATGCTGCTGGTAGTGTGCTGCTTAGTTGTCTGGCTACTTAGAATTTAGTTAATGTACCTGAATGCTATTTATATGAAGTGTTTAGTTGTAAACCTTGTTTGACTGAACAGAGATTTGGAACAACCACTTCAAGCCCAACTAGACTTCAGTATATCAACCAAGCAACGTCACTACATCCAAGCCATTTGAACAGTCTCTGGGAAGTTTCATTCAGCATGCAGCGAGCTGCACCAGCTGAGGTTTCTGCATGCGATGCTCCCGGTATGGTATCACATGCAGCATTCCTTAGAGCCACGCAACATGTCAGCAAGCAGGGTACAGCACCCGTCTCTGTTTGCAGCGCTTCAGCTTCAGATAAAATGAAGTCGGCAGATTTTTCCTTATCATGGCGCCTCATTTCCCCCCCCCCGCCTCTTTCTTCCCCCTCCATCAAGATGGTTGCACGGCCGCAGTGCCGCCATGCTGCTGCTGTCTCCCCCTGTGCTCCGCGCCACTTGCAGCTTTGCCGCCCGAATGTCCGCCAGCGTGAATGGCCGCAGCCGTTACACGCGGTTACCACCGCCACCACCACCACCATTGCCGCTGCCACCAGAATCGCCTGCCACTCCTGACAGGCCTGCACCAGTGCTCGCGCACCAGCTGTCCTCGGCTGATTGGAGGGAGACGCTGTGAGGCCGAGGAAAAGAATCTGGTGCAGCTCTATCATCCCCTGCAGCCCTCTCACTCTTTCTGTCCCACTCCCTCCGGAGTTCAGTACAGTGCCGTTCAGTATAATCACCTCGCCAGTGCAGGGCCGACCTTCGCCCCCTTCAGTCAAGATTTCAACTTTTATTCTACTACATTCTCCAGCAAGATGCCAGAGGCTCAAAGGCTTCAAAACTGCAGCAATCCGCTCACCCTCTCCCCGCTCCACAGCTTGCCTGCTTCCAACCAACCTTCCCTGTTTCTTACTTCAACGTCTTTTTTCCGTTCTCCTACCTCCTCACCTCCTTTGCTCATCGCCTTTTTCTCTACTCACCATTTTCTCTCCTCACCTTCTCCTGCTCACATGCAGCGAGTAGGAAAGCCATTTTTCTGATTGCAGCGACCCAACACAGCACACCACTCTGGACAGGAACACACAAGACTCACAATATACCCCAGAGCACCCCTCAGTCATGGCAGCATTTGCACTAGCAGCACCTCCCCTGTCCCTGCCTCACACTGACTGACACCACCCCCCCGTATAGTCACACCCACCTTGACGTCTCACCCATTCCCCCGCACTGCCTCACACTGTCCCTACTTGCTTAACTTAGCCCAACACCCCAGCACCGCACCTCACCGTGCTATGTCCCTCCGTGGCCCGGGGTGAAGGCAGCGCCGTCCTCCAGCCCCTCGCCCTTGAGACTCTCCCCAGCAGACCCAGCAGAGAGAATCGCCCTGCTCTTCCCCCTGCTGCCCGCGCCTGGCACGCAAACCATCAGACTGAGTGGGGAAAAGGGGAGGCGGGGTAGGAGGGGAAAGATGGAGGGGTAAGGGGGAGATTGGAGGGTTGTAGGAGCAGGGAGGGAGTCACGCGCACCTTGTCCCTGTTGCGTGCATGTGGTAGGCCCACCCACATGCTGACGGAGTGCCGTGTACTAGGAGGAATGTAGCACAAGGGGCTCGGGAAGAGACGAGGAAGAGCCGAGGTAGTGCAGAGCATGGGGGTGAGAGAGGGGCGGGCAGAAGTTGGAAGGATGCGAGGCGTGGTGGGTGGCTGTGGAGATGGAATGGGACGGAGAAAGTGGGAGCATGTGCAGGGCAGCGCACTTGCCCTCCCATGCGCCCTCTCATGCGCCCTCTCATGCCCAGCACACCCCATGCCCAGCACACCCCATGCCCAGCACACCCCATGACCAGCACACCCCGTGCCCAGCACACCCCATGCCCAGCACACCCCATGCCCAGCACACCCCATGCCCAGCACACCCCATGCCCAGCACACCCCATGCCCAGCACACCCCATGCCCAGCACACCCCATGCCCAGCGCAACCCATGCCCAGCGCACCCCATGCCCAGCGCACCCCATGCCCAGCGCACCCCATGCCCAGCGCAGCCTCTAAGGAGAGTGCACCCCCTAATGGAGGCGTGGGAGCGCCACCCAGCTTGGCAGCCGCGGGGGAAGCCTTTTCCTCGGCCGCCTCCTCTTGTGCCGTGCCCTGCCATGCTCCGTGCGGGGGAAGGGGGGAGGAGAGGAAGATGGGGGAAGTGGGAGGGGGAGCGGGGAGAAGGAGAGGAATGTGAGGAAGGAGACCAAAGGGTGTTGTTGCTTTGCCGTGCATGATGGTGCTGAGTTGGGGTAAGAAAGGAGGGTGAATTGACTAAAGGTGTTGAACCCCTTTTCACCCACGTCCTCACACCCTCCTCCGTGCCCATGGCAGCAATCACACGTCACATGCGGCGTTACAATGTATCACCCAGAACCCACCTTTTTTACTGAGTATACGTGCGGCGTTACAACAACAAGAAGAGCTTTCCCTTGCTGCCTTGCCGCGCCCCAGAGCAAGTTGCTGTTGGTTGCACGAGGCTCTCTCTCTCCCCATGCTGCACTTCACCCCATGCTGCACTTCACCCCATGCTGCACTTCACCCCATGCTGCACTTCACCCCATGCTGCACTTCACCCCATGCTGCACTTCACCCCATGCTGCACTTCACCCCATGCTGCACTTCACCCCATGCTGCACTTCACCCCATGCTGCACTTCACCCCATGCTGCACTTCACCCCATGCTGCACTTCACCCCATGCTGCACTTCACCCCATGCTGCACTTCACCCCATGCTGCACTTCACCCCATGCTGCACTTCACCCCATGCTGCACTTCACCCCATGCTGCACTTCACCCCATGCTGCACTTCACCCATGCTGCACTTCACCCCATGCTGCACTTCACCCCATGCTGCACTTCACCCCATGCTGCACTTCACCCCATGCTGCACTTCACCCCATGCTGCACTTCACCCCATGCTGCACTTCACCCCATGCTGCACTTCACCCCATGCTGCACTTCACCCCATGCTGCACTTCACCCCATGCTGCACTTCACCCATGCTGCACTTCACCCCATGCTGCACTTCACCCCATGCTGCACTTCACCCCATGCTGCACTTCACCCCATGCTGCACTTCACCCCATGCTGCACTTCACCCCATGCTGCACTTCACCCCATGCTGCACTTCACCCCATGCTGCACTTCACCCCATGCTGCACTTCACCCCATGCTGCACTTCACCCCATGCTGCACTTCACCCCATGCTGCACTTCACCCCATGCTGCACTTCACCCCATGCTGCACTTCACCCCATGCTGCACTTCACCCCATGCTGCACTTCACCCCATGCTGCACTTCACCCCATGCTGCACTTCACCCCATGCTGCACTTCACCCCATGCTGCACTTCACCCCATGCTGCACTTCACCCCATGCTGCACTTCACCCCATGCTGCACTTCACCCCATGCTGCACTTCACCCCATGCTGCACTTCACCCCATGCTGCACTTCACCCCATGCTGCACTTCACCCCATGCTGCACTTCACCCCATGCTGCACTTCACCCCATGCTGCACTTCACCCCATGCTGCACTTCACCCCATGCTGCACTTCACCCCATGCTGCACTTCACCCCATGCTGCACTTCACCCCATGCTGCACTTCACCCCCATGCTGCACTTCACCCCATGCTGCACTTCACCCCATGCTGCACTTCACCCCATGCTGCAACTTCACCCCATTGCTGCACTTCACCCCATGCTGCACTTCACCCCATGCTGCACTTCACCCCATGCTGCATCTTCACCCCATGCTGCACTTCACCCCATGCTGCACTTCACCCCCATGCTGCACTTCACCCCATGCTGCACTTCACCCATACCCCATGCTGCACTTCACCCCATGCTGCACTTCACCCCATGCTGCACTTCACCCCATGCTGCACTTCACCCCATGCTGCACTTCACCCCATGCTGCACTTCACCCCATGCTGCACTTCACCCCATGCTGCACTTCACCCCATGCTGCACTTCACCCCATGCTGCACTTCACCCCATGCTGCACTTCACCCCATGCTGCACTTCACCCCATGCTTGCACTTCACCCCATGCTGCACTTCACCCCATGCTGCACTTCACCCCATGCTGCACTTCACCCCATGCTGCACTTCACCCCATGCTGCACTTCACCCCATGCTGCACTTCACCCCATGCTGCACTTCACCCCATGCTGCACTTCACCCCATGCTGCACTTCACCCCATGCTGCACTTCACCCCATGCTGCACTTCACCCCATGCTGCACTTCACCCATGCTGCACTTCACCCATGCTGCACTTCACCCCATGCTGCACTTCACCCCATGCTGCACTTCACCCCATGCTGCACTTCACCCCATGCTGCACTTCACCCCATGCTGCACTTCACCCCATGCTGCACTTCACCCCATGCTGCACTTCACCCCATGCTGCACTTCACCCCATGCTGCACTTCACCCCATGCTGCACTTCACCCCATGCTGCACTTCACCCCATGCTGCACTTCACCCCATGCTGCACTTCACCCCATGCTGCACTTCACCCCATGCTGCACTTCACCCCATGCTGCACTTCACCCCATGCTGCACTTCACCCCATGCTGCACTTCACCCCATGCTGCACTTCACCCCATGCTGCACTTCACCCCATGCTGCACTTCACCCCATGCTGCACTTCACCCCATGCTGCACTTCACCCCATGCTGCACTTCACCCCATGCTGCACTTCACCCCATGCTGCACTTCACCCCATGCTGCACTTCACCCCATGCTGCACTTCACCCCATGCTGCACTTCACCCCATGCTGCACTTCACCCCATGCTGCACTTCACCCCATGCTGCACTTCACCCCATGCTGCACTTCACCCCATGCTGCACTTCACCCCATGCTGCACTTCACCCCATGCTGCACTTCACCCCATGCTGCACTTCACCCCATGCTGCACTTCACCCCATGCTGCACTTCACCCCATGCTGCACTTCACCCCATGCTGCACTTCACCCCATGCTGCACTTCACCCCATGCTGCACTTCACCCATGCTGCACTTCACCCCATGCTGCACTTCACCCCATGCTGCACTTCACCCCATGCTGCACTTCACCCCATGCTGCACTTCACCCCATGCTGCACTTCACCCCATGCTGCACTTCACCCCATGCTGCACTTCACCCCATGCTGCACTTCACCCCATGCTGCACTTCACCCCATGCTGCACTTCACCCCATGCTGCACTTCACCCCATGCTGCACTTCACCCCATGCTGCACTTCACCCCATGCTGCACTTCACCCCATGCTGCACTTCACCCCATGCTGCACTTCACCCCATGCTGCACTTCACCCCATGCTGCACTTCACCCCATGCTGCACTTCACCCCATGCTGCACTTCACCCCATGCTGCACTTTCACCCCATGCTGCACTTCACCCCATGCTGCACTTCACCCCATGCTGCACTTCACCCCATGCTGCACTTCACCCCATGCTGCACTTCACCCCATGCTGCACTTCACCCCATGCTGCACTTCACCCCATGCTGCACTTCACCCCATGCTGCACTTCACCCCATGCTGCACTTCACCCATGCTGCACTTCACCCCATGCTGCACTTCACCCCATGCTGCACTTCACCCCATGCTGCACTTCACCCCATGCTGCACTTCAACCCCATGCTGCACTTCACCCCATGCTGCACTTCACCCCATGCTGCACTTCACCCCATGCTGCACTTCACCCCATGCTGCACTTCACCCCATGCTGCACTTCACCCCATGCTGCACTTCACCCCATGCTGCACTTCACCCCATGCTGCACTTCACCCATGCTGCACTTCCACCCCCATGCTGCACTTCACCCCATGCTGCACTTCACCCCATGATGCACTTCACACCCATGCGCACTCACCCATGCTGCACTTCACCACCTGCCTGCACTTCACCCCATGCTGCACTTCACCCCATGGCTGCACTTCACCCCATGCTGCCACTTCACCCCATGCTGCACTTCAACCCATGCTGCACTTCAACCCCATGCTGCACTTCACCCCATGCTGCACTTCACCCCATGCTGCACTTCAACCCCATGCTGCACTTCACCCCATGCTGCCACTTCACCCATGCTGCACTTCACCCCATGCTGCACTTCACCCCATGCTGCACTTCACCCCATGCTGCACTTCACCCCATGCTGCAACTTCACACCCATGCTGCACATTCACCCCAATGCTGCACTTCACCCCATGCTGCACTTCACCCCATGCTGCACTTCACCCATGCTGCACTTCACCCCATGCTTGCACTTCACCCCATGCTGCACTTCACCCCATGCTGCACTTCACCCCATGCTGCACTTCACCCCATGCTGCACTTCACCCCATGCTGCACTTCACCCCATGCTGCACTTCACCCATGCTGCACTTCACCCCATGCTGCACTTCACCCCATGCTGCACTTCACCCCATGCTGCACTTCACCCCATGCTGCACTTCACCCCATGCTGCACTTCACCCCATGCTGCACTTCACCCCATGCTGCACTTCACCCCATGCTGCACTTCACCCCATGCTGCACTTCACCCCATGCTGCACTTCACCCCATGCTGCACTTCACCCCATGCTGCACTTCACCCCATGCTGCACTTCACCCCATGCTGCACTTCACCCCATGCTGCACTTCACCCCATGCTGCACTTCACCCCATGCTGCACTTCACCCCATGCTGCACTTCACCCCATGCTGCACTTCACCCCATGCTGCACTTCACCCCATGCTGCACTTCACCCCATGCTGCACTTCACCCCATGCTGCACTTCACCCCATGCTGCACTTCACCCCATGCTGCACTTCACCCCATGCTGCACTTCACCCCATGCTGCACTTCACCCCATGCTGCACTTCACCCCATGCTGCACTTCACCCCATGCTGCACTTCACCCCATGCTGCACTTCACCCCATGCTGCACTTCACCCCATGCTGCACTTCACCCCATGCTGCACTTCACCCCATGCTGCACTTCCACCCCATGCTGCACTTCACCCCATGCTGCACTTCACCCCATGCTGCACTTCACCCCATGCTTGCACTTCACCCCATGCTGCACTTCACCCCATGCTGCACTTCACCCCATGCTGCACTTCACCCCATGCTGCACTTCACCCCATGCTGCACTTCACCCCATGCTGCACTTCACCCCATGCTGCACTTCACCCCATGCTGCACTTCACCCCATGCTGCACTTCACCCCATGCTGCACTTCACC